TATATATATATATATATATATATATATTTGTGTGTGTGTGTGTGTGTGTGTGTGTGTGTGTAATCATGTCTTGACTATATACCAACAAATTGCTTTCGGCATTGAATTTATCCCCATTGAAGCTTGACACATAGCATAAGCTTAAAATGAGATATCTTTCGAAACGCAACAAGGCGATGCGGGGATCCGTTTGAAAATTCGCACAGTTTCACCGCAAACGTTTTCAAGCGAGATTACGGAGAAAGACGTGTCGAGAGGTAAATAGTTACAACATTATCGCAGAACATGTTTTACCTTCAGAATGTCTCATTGTACACAATTGATTTTGTATTACCAAATATTTTGGCCGCATAAATTTAAGTAAACGCCTTGGCTTCTGTGCTTCTCGTATCATCTTTCTCCTCCCATAAAACTTCGAAAATTGCAATTTCACAGAAATTGCGAAGAAACTACTTGGTTGGCGACATTCGCGATGTAATATTTCGTGAGGGGATCTGTGTTCGAGAAAGTATCTTATCAAACAAACCGTTTAGAAGTGTACAGTTTGTACCGGAATAATGTTCGCATCGGACCAACCGTAGGGGAAACTATCGACGTCAACGACGCCAGTCCGACAACAGCTCCAAATAACATCGCGTTCATCCAGTCGGAAAAAATCGTCGGAAATCCGTATTACTACGCAATTAAATCTCCAAACGATAAAAGTCGCGGCAGCGTTTCCGCACGAATAATTCGCAAGCGTGTGCCGCGACGCGGAAAAAAAACATTATTTTTTGCTGTGAACAAGTTGATCGAGTCCGATATAGAACACCATGAGTAGATGTTTATACGGCATGTAATTCGTAAGTTATACGCAGAGGCACGAAAATGTTGATTGATATACATACATATTAGAAACGGTGAATACTAACGCAACGATTCACTCTTCGATCTATGATTTTTACAGTGGGCGAAGACGATCTGCTCTCGTGATTCTCGATATTTTATTTATATGTTCTTTCTTGATTAATGCGACGGTAAATTCTGTCGTACGTAATTGGCACATTGGCGAAGAAAAGGGGATGTAATTGTATCCGTCTCATGTATCAGAGGCGGATGTTATATCTTTTTTATTCAAAATGAAGAGACAGCTCGCGCTATTTTCATCAACTTATCCCTTTCTCTCTCGATATATGATCGAGGGCTCTTGATGTTGTTTCAAAACAGTAACAATCGCCAACAAAACTCTTCCGCCCGAGCGAGCGCAAAAATAGCGGATACTTGTCACTCCTTTAAACAGCTATGTGTATACTCTTGATCCGTCTCTGATACGTCTCTACGTCAACCCTTCTCGAAAGTGTCACACGCCTTTACGCGCAAGCTTGATTGCCTTTAGTATGCTTACGTTATTATGCTTGTAAGAAATCGCGCCACGATCGTTCAGGTCAGGAACACATAGAAGAAACAGCAAAATTTTAGCAGTAAACAAATTGACCAAGCACAATCGATTTTTTTTCCATACGGTCTGAAAATAATCAATTGTGATTGATAAATTTCCTTACTGCTCAAAAGTCTTACTGCTTGCGTTTTTCTGTGTATGCCACGACTCTTAGTTATCACCATATATCCCTCCGAAAGATCGATTACTACGTCGTCATGTTGGCGCAACGAAGTGTCGCGTATCGATGATACCGTGACGTTTCTGTTCTCATGTTTATCAACATGCTTGAAATTATACTCGCTTGATAAGCATAAAAGTTCAAGGAATCGATCGCTAGGCGCGGGGAAAAATCGAAAATCGTCCAGGCACGTGTAGATTCAGAGAGCACGGAATTCCGAGCTCAAGGGGAGACGTAGAAAAAGCGCGCGAGTTGGAAGGGTGGATCGTTGTTCAAATAACGCACTGTTGTTGAGAATATAAGTTTCTTCTACGGAGACCCTGTCGGCAGGGTAAAAAGAAGCGGGAGGGTGGAGCTACTACCGGTGGAGCTACTGGACCGAACGAGATCGTCACCTGCACCAATTGCGGACCTAATCCCTGCACGCACACGGCAACGAACGGTTGCACCGCCGAGGTAAGTGAGCTTTTTACACCTTATAATAATAATAAGCAATTCAGTGAATATTAACTAACAGTAATAATAAGTCAATGTTATAATCTCCCACTCAGAAATATAAGAATAATATTAATATAATATACTCAGTAAACAAGAAATATTACGTCTACTTTTTACATTGATATTTTATATATATTTTTGTAACGTTACTGCACATATAAGGACAGCGTTTTTATAAATATTTTTAACATGTTATGTAATAATATTGCTCTTTCCGAATATATTCACAAAATATTTTAAAAACATGAGACGAAACATTTTTTAAATATTACAACTTAATAAGAAAGGACATGAAAATAATATCCTAAATATTATTCTTATAAAAAATATACTTATACAATGCATAGAAAAGCATATTATAACAATGTTATTGTAAATTTATGCAATAATCATAATATCGTTAAAAAAGTGATATTTATAGGAGCATCTTTATCATTTGTCATTTCGACGTGCCTGAGCGCGCGAAACCTCAGCTCTATTATAATCGCTAACCGTTTAAAAACTATTATAGCCTCGAAATTTTTGTGTGAAAGTTTTCATTTTAAAATATTCTAAAGAATCTGCCATTAAAATAACATGAGTTATTTAACATCAGTTATAGAACAAGGTAGTTTCGGGATATCCTGCATATATATATATATATATATATATATATATATATATATATATATATATATATATATATA